ATATATATATATAATTTGAATTGTACGATAAACAACATTTTTTTCATTTCTTTATGCACACTACTCAGATTGTGTCGCTTAAAGCCATTAACATCTTATGATTTGAATATAATTCACAAGAAAATGGATCATGACTATTAACAAGGAAAAATGAATCGATTAATTTGGAGATGGAGCGTTGACACAAAACATAGATTTAATTTGACAATGTTGAATTGTAACTGCAATCGTAAGTATTTTAGTTTTTTAATATTTTAAAAATATATAAAATATATTTAATATATTTAATATTTATTTTAATTAACATTTTATATATTTTTAAAATAATAACAAAATATAAAAATTAAAAATCAAAACACCAAGAAGTATAGTCAAATGAAGTTCAAATTAATTTGAACTTACCAAAATTATATGCTTTTGGATCCGGGTTGATGTCTTGTGAATCCAATTAAAAATGCTAACTCTAAAATCAACTCATATAAACCCTAAACAATGTTTAAGGAATTAAGTTTTAGGGTTTAGCTAGTGTTTGTCTTTCGGTTTTAGATTTAGGATTTAATATTCAAGCTTTACAATGTGTATTAGAATTTAGGATTTAAAAGTTTAAAATTTGAGAAGTGTTAGTTGCACTTGGCCATTGATTGTCATTGGCCAAAATCACCATTTTAAAAAAATGCAAAAATAGAAATATTGAATTTGAACTAATAAATGCAACTAGAACTTCCCTTAAAATTTACCTATAATTTAGGATTTAAAATTTAAAGATTAAAGTTTCTTTAGGTATTGTTAGGTAACACATATTTGTATTTAAAATGTATATTTTAAATATAAGTAGTTAACATACATGTGTTTTACATGCATGTATTTTGAAAAGGACTTCTTTCAATCAGAAGCCATGGAATGAATTACCCCATCACTGAGAAGCAGCACTAGCTGATTTTCCTCCTTTCCTCGAATTGTCATTTCTTTCATTGGTGCTCTGTTTTTTACCAAAATCAAAGAATAAGCCCAACTTGTAGAACAAGTTTTCAATTCATTCATTACTTTTCTCCCTTATTTTCATTGTTGGGTTAACCCATTTATGCCATTATTATTATTATTACAGATTTAATTTGCCACTTATTCCAAGAAATTAATAATAAATTAATTAAAAAAGAAAAGAAAAGAAAAGAGAAGGTACAAATTAGAATTACACACATTACTCATCTACCTATCAAACTAACAATATATTATATATGTCATTGATCTTATAAACAAAAGCAATCCCAGTAATGAGTAAATGTATAGACTTCTATGTAAAAATTTATGGTCTAAACCTAATTTAAAAAAAAAAAAATCAAAATTGTAGAGATTACAAAACTGGAACTGGGTAGAAGCTTCCTAGGCATCAATGGCCAACACCAGGGCTTGGAACAGACCGGAGAATTCGATCGATGCTAGAAAGGTGCCGGTTGAAGAGCTTCTCGTTGTCAAGAGTGGCGTGACCCTTCTTGCTAGGGGCAGAGTATGGTACTGTACCCTTAGAAAGTGCACTCAGCACCAAACTCCTAAACAAAGAAGGGACTTCCTTTTCGTTCACTTGCTTTGCAATTAACAGCTTTCTGCCCTCCAATTGTGTTGGAAAAGAAGCAAAGAAAACCAAGAAAATGAGCATTAAAGCACGAACACGAGCCATGAAACGTTACAAAAACAGAGCAAAACAGAGAAGAGAAGAGAAAAAGTGAGAATCTGGTTTTGTTGAAGAAGTAATGGGAGTTTTGGCGTTGTTATGCTATTGTTCAGGCCGAATGAAGACATATATACAAAAATTGGAGGAAGAAAAAGAGGGACATGCAACCGCGTGATGGGGTTTATTTTAATTTTTAGAGGGGGAAGTGGTGGCTAAGTCAATGTGAAAAAGAAGGGATTTGAAATTGAGACGAAAAAATATCAAAAAAAGAAGGGTTTGAAAAAGAAAGAATCAATGAATCTGTGGAAAATTATGGCCGCGTGGACTGGAGTAGTTGGGTGAGATAAGCCGCCGGCTATTTTCTCGTGCACGTTGCATTGCACCGTCTGCTACTCACTGCCGCTCAGCCCATTTGGCTCTCTTTAGCTTGTGCCGGCTTAGATTTATTTATTTTTAGCTGTCAAGGTATTATTGAATCAACTTTGAGAACAATTCCTTCTCGATCTAGTTGTAGGTAAACCATTCACATAGAAACTAAAAAAATATATGAATAATTCCCTCTTCATTGGCCTCTCTAATAAATCTAACCTTACGCAGATTCAAACATTGTTGTGAGTCTTAGATTTAATTTATTTTACTTTGATTTAATCAAATACAATAATTCGTAGAGTAAAAATTTAAATTTAAAATTTCTAAAGAATTTTGTGTTCGTTAATGACAAAGCCAAAGACTTATTAGTGAAGTCAAACCGTTTCTTATATCATCATCTTTAGATATGTCAAGAACAAAGATTTTATTAATAATTTAAATAATTTATTAATAATTTAAATAATTTATTAATAATTTTTATATAAAAATAAAAATTTTAAATTTAAATTACATAATATATCATTAATATGAAATTAAAAAATAAAAAAATTAATTTTCGTTATACAATCTTAAAAGAAAACCTAGACTTTATTTATGTTGATGTTGGAACTACAAAACGTGATTATCTAAATATAAAAACCTTAATTAAACCGCATTTTTTATTATACGGCGCAGGCTGTTCCTCGGCCTTGTTTTCAGTGTTACTGTCAAAAAACATGTCCACTTCTGCCCTTCCTGGCCGCTGCCATGTTAGGTTAGGTTCCATGAATTCTGCATGTCTTCGTCTCAATTTTTAATGCCTATTTGTACCTTTGATTTAAGGTTTATATCTTTAATTTGTTTGGCGAGAGAGGAGCTCAATTTTGGGTTAAGAATTGAACTTAATGTGCTCAACACAATCATGTTTGTATCAAAAGACTCCAAACATATGTCTTTTGCCTTATTTTGATTGGCATTTATACCTTCTATATATGAGTATATTTAAAAATAAATTATATGATAAAAGATAATTATTTTCTTTTTAAACCTATACTATCTTACTCATCTTTTAAAAAAACATTAATGTTTAAACCTTGTATTTACACTTTTTAGAGAAAAAGTGTTTCTTTAAGTCTATTTCCAAGTACCAACATTATAAAAAAATGAACTTATTCTAATTACATCAACACATACAAAGGTTTCAAAACCTGTTTTCCATAAATTGCCATATAATTAGGTCAAATAAGAGTTTGTTTCGGCTTAGCTTATTCTAACCCTTGAAGTGATAGAACTTACTAGACTAAAAGACCACAACTCTCCATATAAGCAAATTATCATGCATATTAAAATGGTGTTTTGCACTCTAAATTATATTGAAATCCAAAACACTAAACTCTATAGTCATATATATAGGATATGGGAAGTATATAATTGGAACAATTGTGCCCCCACCAATTGTAGCAAGTGTCATCTATAGTATAATAACTAATAAGAGAATGCTTGCGGACATTTCTATAATTCAATTAAAGAAAGAATACCAAAAAAAAGTTTGTCTGACATTCTTGATCTACATGATAGCAAAGACACACATCAAGCAGAAAGGCCAAGTTTTTATTTTAGGGACAATGTTTTTCAAGCCCTATCTCCATTGTTGGTTGTTAGCTTGTTATCGTCCATACATGGTCGTCAGAGGCCTGCTGTACCCTCCATATTTAAAAGAATTCATCAATTAGATCAACTTTTAGTCTTTTAAGTCTGTCTTAATATATTTAGAGTGTTTGTTTCAGTTTTATGTAAATAGTTATTAATTGTGGATTTCAATCAAGTAAATTAAATATTTTAAATTATAAATAACAATAATTAATCATCTATTATTAAATATCAACTATCAATATATATTGAGATAACTAATCCAAACAACACCTTCAACTTTTGTCATATTCCTATGTGGAAAAATGTAATTTGAGCAGACCCCATGAAAATGTGATGTTGAATAAATTGGTCGAAGAATAAAGAAGATGTATGGTGCCGGGTGTTTTGTGTACAAAAGGTCCTTGATTCATTCATCCATGTCAACAGCTACGGTGTCTGCCCGGCAACACACCAATTATCGGCTGCCTTTTCCGAAAGTGCTACGTCTTGTCTCACGACAATAAAATTTTTAACAACAAAGTCAGCAAAGGGAACAGGTCTTGTGCAAGAAAATATAATACATGACAAAGATAAGCATGGTTAATCTTTATTATTTATTACTATAATTATCATTTTGTTTTATTATGTACAATCGAAAACAACTCTTCTCATCTTTTAATTTACTCAACGCATATGCATATTACTCAAATTAAAGTCTTCTTATTTTTATTGAAAAAAATTATTATTCAATTATTTAGATTGTTAGAATAAACATGATTAATTAATCAATATGTTAGTCACAAACAATAAGCGTTTGTAGTCCAACGGTTAGGATAATTGCCTTCCAAGCAATAGACCCGGGTTCGACTCCCGGCAAACGCAGTCTTTCAAGGTATATTTATTCGTTTTGTTTTGGGCCATTTGGTCCACAAAGCTCACACGACTAGAACAGAACAGGGTCTTCTCCCCCCATTCATTCACATGACAATTGTTAATTCAGTGTGTGCGGTTTGTATTTCCTTCTTCACTTCCAAATATCAATCAACAACCCAGAACTCCCCACTCCCTTCCATTTGCATATATTTTCCATTTATGAATTTCTCCTAAATCTCGTACCCTTCATTTCAACCCCAATCCGTATCAAGAAAATGGGCTCTTCTTCTTCTTCTTCTTTCCCCTCCATTTACAATTAAGCAATTGACCCATAAATTAATCACACCCCCGGAAAAAAAGACTATGTTGTGTTTTGTTGGGAGTCCACGGCACTACTCATGTTGTTGGGTCGAGTAATTGGATTAGTAACAACCACTTAAGTAAGGATTTAATATGTAAATACATTATCTTAAATTTAAAAGGTTAACATGTTAAGTTCATGAGATTTTACATATAAAATCCTCTTACTTTTCATTTTCTACTTCCATTATAAGATTCTCTCTACTCACGTGCGAACATTCAACAATCTCTTTTGTTCAGTTTAGTTGCGAGTCTTTAACATCTTATGCTAGTGTACCTTTATGGGCGGAGTGGGGACACCCTTGCACTTGCTTGAGATCTACATAGCTCTCTCGTGAGCATGGTTCTTAAAATCTTGATTTAAATCATAAAATCCTATGATTTCATGATCTCAAGTATGCAAACGTAGTTAGATCAGACATGTAATCAAAATTGAAGTGAATTGTACTAGGAATGAGATTAAAATTGTGAGATTAGTGAAGTTACACGATTCATAATGATTCCACAATTCTTGTATACTGTCATTTTAAATGGTTGTAGTTTTAGAAAGAAAGAAAAAACCCCAAAATTGTGAATCTTAGATATCAAAAATCCTAAAGACTTAACCTAACCTGTTATTCTGTACAATAATCCTAAAATCACATGTTCTTCATTCTATCTTCTTCTTCGATGGACGGTAGCAATTGCAATTTTAGAGATCCTAGAACCCACCAAGTTTAGAACATATTGATGATGAAGAAAGGGACCCATGATGTTGGGAAGAGACAGAGATGGGCTCAAATTGAGGAAAACCAACTAAGTTAAGGAAATTACCAAATTCCACTTAGTATTTCTTTAAGTGCAGGGATTTCAAGTTCATGCACTATCTTCGAGTGTAGGGATCCTCACATCTTTACACCATATTTTTTCATGTGCACTTACTTAAGGTACACTCTCATCTCAACACTCCAATTACGTGGAGGAATTGTTTGTCGCTCAACACCCAAGAAGGGTGGAGGTGCACTCACTACTCTCAGGGCATCAGACCCACCTCTATTGACCAAAGTTTGAACCTTCAGCTTTGGCACCACTGTTGGGAGTCTAAAGCACTACTTATATTGTTGGGTTGAGCAAATGAGTCAATAGTAACACTTAAGTAATGGCCCAACATATATAAATATCATATTGACCAACTCAAAAGACTAATTTATTAGGTTCATAAGACTTTACATATTTAAATTACTTACTTTTTACTCTCTATTTTTTATATGAAATTCTCTCCACTTAAAACTTTGAAGGCTGTTATTATAGGAAAAGGAGCTTTGGAACCTAACAGGTCCATTATCAAGCTTTCATGCCTTGCATTCTTTATGAAGATATATGATGTATCTGTTAATATCTTAGATTGTTTAGAAACTCTTCAACTGTTCTGCACTCAAGTTTTTTATTTTTGAGATTGTTAATAGTAATCCAAAACTGAGCAGCATGTGATGGCCACATCATTTGCTTGTGATCCAAACATGACCTGACCGAATGGGCTGTACAACACATGTTCATGAGTTGTGCTTGTTTAATTTTTTTTACATTTTTGTGAACTAAAATAAAGATGAAATACCGATAAGGCTACAATGACAGACCAAGCTGAGGTCATGACAAATTCCAATTTCAAATTATTTACAAAAGGAAAAAGAGAGAGAGAGAGAGAGAGAAATTGACGAAATTTACATTACCAATAGCTAGGAGAGGGGGAAAATGTAA